AGCTTAGTCTTAAGTCCTTCTGTTGGGTCTTTCAGTAAAGGCATACACGCGTCATTATCATTTAAATGAGCTAGCATTTTTTCTACATAACTTGACTTAATTGTTGACTGCGTAAGTCTGCAAGCAAGCATGGGTGAGATAATGGGATATGAGCATGCAAGCATGATAATCAAGTTGCGAAACCACTTTTCCTAACCTTTCAGTCTAGGGTCATTAACGTTTAGCCCCCCAAGGAAAGGCAAGACTGGGGCTGCGTAATCTGGCACGTCTGGTTTGGTTGATGAGCTTACTTAAACATGTTGGACGAATGTGAATGAAGTTAGAACCATAACCGAGCCGTCAAATTGAGTCGCCTTCTTTTTGACGGCGACTCAACACAATGTTATCTCAAGATATATATCGAAACCCAATTTCTCTTTGTATCTACTATGCTCCACTAACTGGTCATCACTTGTAGCAACACGCTCTTAAGCGATATTGAGGGAAATGAGAGCACAGCATGGTGTGAGTAGGTAATTGGGCTATATGATGTGGAGTTAAGAGAAAGAGATGCAGCACTAAAGGAAAAAAATATGAATGAATGATGTTAAACAGTTGAACAGTAATTTAGTCAAGTGGATTGCCTTTACTTGCCACTTTGATAGGTTATAACTGTTCTAACGATGATGCCTCTCCCCGACAATGCCGGCAACACGTCTAGGAATGCACTAAGACTGATGCTGGATATCACGAATATTATGGCAGAGAATACATGACTGGGTATTTTCGATAAGGTTTCCTGATGCTCTTACAAAGTCGCGAAATCGAGGTTGAACCAGCGCTAAAATTGTTCATCAGACCGATGAAATCAAAGTAATCCTTTCTTCATGCTGAAATCATGCAAGAAATATATCAAAATTTTAGTAAGGAGACTTTGAGATTAACTCATTCTACCTTTTTATTCTTAGCTCCTCAACTTAATCTTTCATCATTCCTCCATTTTTTTCTTAAGATGTTTTTTTAGTGAGTAAACAATCTTGTTTTATCAATATGATTTTTTGAAAACCTGCCTCAACATGATTTTAGAAAGTTTCTTGTTATTGCTCCTGCTGAAAGTTTTTCATAATTATAAATATTAATACAAAGGTAATAATTTTGGGAGAAACATCCAAGTACATTATTAACCTTTATTTCTCGATAATCTTTTCTTTAGGTTGATTGCGCAATATCAATTTTTCTACCAAAATATCTCATCTTAGACACATTTGGGATCACTTCTTTAAGCAATTTACCTGAGAATGTACGTATTAATAATAGTTAATTGATTTATTACACCTCAGAGGCAATTTTTTAATCAATTATTTTATAATGCTATTATTTGTAATAAGTTGTTTATTCTAACGTTCTATTGTGGCAGCTAAGTATTTAGCTTGGAGTTATCAATTATTAATCAAGCAACCACAAAGTTAATATGAGTAAAATAGCTTAGATCGTAGATATGAAGACTAAGCTGTTGTGGCTTTATGTTTGGTCACAGGCTTATTTGGCTTTATAGTGTTAATTCGACCTCGTTTTCGCAACTCGTTCGGAGTCTCAGGGAGACTTTGTAGAGCATAGTTGGTCCAGTTTTCTATTCCCATAGCACTCCTTAACCCCAGCATCGCAGCATTTACTTGGTACATTCCCAAACGTTTCGCCGGTATCGTCAGTGAGGGGCACAGTTACAATTTATTATTTGTTATTTCAATAAGTTGTGATTCTGGGCTAACGATGGTGCCTGTCACTGACATTGCCGGCTGACTGCCAATGTAACTGATTTTTAATTTCGTTTGAAGAGGCGAGTGGAAGGGATTTGTAAGTTGGTTCCACCGGTGGCTGGGGGGTTGCCTTGGAGCTGTGGTTGTAGATTTGTGCGAATATGTCCTTGGTGCACGGCCATACGACCCCGATGAAACCTTGCTGAGCTTTCGTCCGTAATGTGACGGATATCGTCAGAGTAGGACACCGTGGTTAACGATAATTCACCAAAAACATGAATTCAAGAAAAGTGGCCGGCTTCAAAAGTACTTCTTTATAGTCCAATTTGGCCCACTTAGGTATCTCATGTTTTGGTTGAATGTCCTATGCTCCAGGGTGTTGTCTGTTTTGATGGATTCTGTCGCCTCCCTAATCTTTAGCCTACTGGTATAGTCTTCATATCCAACTAAGCGTTTGGCATTAGACAAATCTATCTGGTGTCCTGTGCGAGCCATATGTTTGGTCAATTCCAAACATATGGCCAACTCAGATACACTTTCAGGCTGTTTTGCGTTAGGATAACCTCTTGTGTATGAGCCTACAGGTTTCTCTCACATAGGCGCTACCAAATGAACACAGAATCGTGTATCAGCCCAATCTGGAGAGCTCTAATGGAAAGCTTGTATGACCAAACACGAGGTTTATTTATGGGATCGTGTTTGTCACCAAGTATAGCAAATAATTACATGGCTTAATTTGAGGAAGGCTTAATTCAGGAGGCGCGTTTGGTTCCTAAATTATTATTTCGCTGTATGGACGACTACTTTCCTATTTGGCAACATGGCAAATAAAACCTGGAGAATTTTCTTGGTTTGATGAACAGGATCGATGGAAAAATGAAATTCACCTTTGAGATGGAAAAGAAAGGTGGTCTACCTTTTTTTGACGTCCTAGTTGACAAAGAGGGGACCCGATTTTGTAGAGATGTGTATAAGAAACCCACATAGGAGGGTTTCCTTTTAAATTTCTTATCCAACTACAATTATGGGGTTAAAGTTGGAGTTAGGAAGTCTATTATAATAAGGAGCTGGCAACTGAGAGATGTTAAGCATCGGG